TAAATTTGGATATTTAAAAGTCACCTACTTGTGGTTCTCCAAGGTAACTTCCATCATTTGCTCCGGGGCATTTTTAACCATACGGGTTTTGGGCACAGTTCGACTAACTACTTTCCTGATTATATCTGAAATCCATAAAAATACAATTTTAAAAGTTTTATAAACATAATACATAAAATGAATTTCATATGTGTAAGTATTTAAGTTATGTAAATGTAAATCACTCTTACCAACTAAAAAGACTTGGTCAGCAAACTCTGTTTTGAGTACATCTTCAAAACTCTTAAAGTAGAAACGAAAATTGGGAAATCCATTTTCCGTTAGTTTTTGAATTTTGGTCTTTCCCAAAAATTGGAGCATGCAAGGGTGATGGGTAGTCTTTGTGCCTTGGAAATTGCGTAAAACCTTGACCCTCATGATTAAGTAAACCGCATTTTCTTCCAAATCTTGTTTCAATGTGCTTATATCAGTATCTTTAATCTGAGCATGGATTCGAACGCCCTAACAAATAATTAAATTTATATTTTTTGTTTAAAGATCTATTATTTGTAAAATATTAAACAATGTAGAACTAACCTCTGAGTCGTGGAAAACAACATCTAACGATTCCGGCCCTCGAGAATGAGCAGCAACGTGGTAAACTCTAATTGCTCTTAGCTTCATCATCAACAACCCGGATTTTTTATGAACATTTTTTAGGGCGGTAATCATCACTCCCATCTCCGGCCAAAAATAGAGGTGAAGCGATTAATTAATTAAAATTAAAACTCTCTAACTCTCATTTGCTGAACACTTGTGTATACCGTGTATTATTATTCAACAGTACCGTGTATTAATACTGTGTATTAATATATGGAAAGTTTTATTACCTATTACCTATTACCTATTACAATACCGTGTTTTATTACCTTTTTAATAATAATAAAATTACAAAGTTTTATTACCTATTACCTATTTTAAAATTTTAAAACACCGTGTATTAATACTGTGTATTAATACCATGTATTGTTGAAACACGGGCTTGTCACGTTTTCGTACTAAAGCCGTGTTCGTTTTTGTAACAGGTTTTGATAATGCCAAACCGCCGTGATCAAGACAAACATTGAATATACAAGGCGAAAAACGAAGATAAAGAACAAGAGCTAAAAGAGACCAAGAACGAAGACCACTATCTTTAGTATTGTTGAGTCGGTCATAATTGTAATCAAGACCGACCCAACCCTCACGCATTGGCTTTTTAGGCTAAAATATTTTATCACATCATAAAAATGTTTTTCTGACATGTTTAAGTGATAAAAAACACTTGGTGTTCGCCCAAACCAAAAACCAAGCCATCCAGCGTTCGGGTTTCAGAAACCGGCGTTCGGCTCTCGGTTATTGGCTATGATTTTTGGCATCCGAACCAACCGAGTGGTTTTTAACTTTTTATGATTGGTTTTCACTCTTTGGCATGTTTAAACGGTTCTCCAATAAAAACACTTTGAAAACCATCTTTCGCTTTTGGTCGTTTGACAAAAATCATTCAAAACGGCATAAACTTGGCTAGCCGTGGTTTTCACTCAAATGACGTGGTTTTTAAAGTGTCTTACTTTATTTCTTAGCCAAATACACCAAATAAGTGTTTTAAACACTTGGTTTCTATTTTGGAGAACTTTGGATTTTTCGGTCGGTTTTCGCATCGGTTGGCTAGGCCGTGGTTAAGGCAAAAACCATGGGTTCTTGACTAACCACCCACCCAGCGATGGGAAGATCTTCCCATCGATGGGTAAGCGGTCCCTTAGCCAAACCAATTTGCAGAACCATGCCAAACAACGATGGGAAGTTCTACCCATTGCTGTTCAAGCCTTGGTGCAAAATTATCACAAGGCAAAACAACCTTGCCCAGCGATGGGAAACCTATCCCATCGATGGGAACCCAGCGATGGTAAGGGTAAACCATCGATGGGAAGGGATGACCGTTGTAGGTCATTTAAGGTTGATTCTTTCCTTGTTTGGAAGTCAACCTACCACCCAGCGATGGGAAGCTTGTACCCATCGATGGGTAGGTGACCGTTGGCTTCAAAACTGAAGGAAAATTGGCTTACCAGCGATGGTTGAGTCTAAACATCGATGGGAAGCCAATATCCTGCAGATCCCAAATTTATTCAATCCCATAAATCAAGCCAATCACCCCTTTAATGCATTGGTCCGTTGGAGCCTATTTTGGCACTATAAAAAGGGGTGTTTGGGTCTGCTTTTCTCACCAATTCACTTCACAACATTCATACTTTCATTGCATTCAAATATCATCATTTTCCATAGCTTTCTAGAGCCATTTTGTGTGAAGGTTGAGTTGGTCTTAAGCGTGCTTAGTTTACTCATAATCTACTCTATAAGAGAGTCTCGTTCTTGAGTGTACTTGTGTTCTTAGACACGTTGAGAGAAAGTATTTCTCTCGGTTGATTCAAAGGAAGGGTTGTTTCCTTTGAAGGATTCGTTGAGGTTCGTGTAACTCGAACTCTCAAGTTGTAACGGTTTGTTAAGCACCCGCAAGCTTAACGAGATAGTAGTGTAGCTCGAGAGAGTCTCTCGGGAGGCTGGATTAGCCACAAGTTGTGGTGAACCAGGGTAAAATTTGGTGTGCCTCTTACTCTTCTCTTTACTACTCTTTTAATTTTTTAATTCCTGCGATTTCTACGATCAAACGCTATTCACCCCCCTCTAGCGTTGGTCTATTATTCTAACATGTATTAGTACCGCGTATTAAATTAGTATAATAATGGAAAGTTTAGAATATAATTTCGTGTATTTTTTACTATTTAAAAATGTAAACACGGTTCTTTCCTTATTAACATTCCTTATTAATATCGTTTATATTATTCAATAGTACCTATTACAATACTGTGTTTTATTTTAAAATTTTAAAATACCGTGTATTAATACTATGTATTAATACCATGTATTAGTACCGCGTATTAAATAAGAATAATAATTGAATGTTTAGAATTTAATCTCGTTAATGTAAACATGGTGCTTTCCTTATTAACATTCTTTTCTAAAATTTGTGTTGCCTTTTATGAATTATACCTAATTCATGAAATTTTCAATAATAATAAAATTACAAAGTTTTATTACCTAATATATTTTAAAATTTTAAAATAGCATCACGGTGCCATGCTATTAAATATTAAATAAAAATAAAATTAATAAATTTTAAATAAAGGTATTAATACTGCGTATTAAATAAGAATAATAATGGAAAGTTTAGAATATAATTTCGTGTATTTTTTACTATTTAAAATTGTAAACACGGTTCTTTCCTTATTAACATTCCTTATTAATATCGTTTATATTGTTCAATAGTACCTATTACAATACCGTGTTTTATTACCTTTTTAATAATAATAAAATTACGAAGTTTTATTACCTATTACCTAATTACCTTATATATTTTAAAATTTTAAAATACCGTGTATTAATACTGTGTATTAATACCATGTATTTTTTTTTGAAGGAAATACCATGTATTAGTACCGCGTATTAAATAAGAATAATAATGGAAAGTTTAGAATTTGATTTCGTTATTGTAAACATTGTGCTTTCCTTATTAACATTCTTTATTAAAATTTGTGTTGCCTTTTATGAATTATGCATAATTCATTAAATTTTCAATAATAATTGTAACACCTCAATACGTATAACCCGGAATTATACAAATTAAGGTGAAACGAGAGATAAATTAAAATTTCACTTGACATTTGGAAATGACAATTTCTGATAAATATTAAATTTAAAGACTCTGGATCGCAACCCATTTAAAAATATTTTCAGAGTAATGCGGAAGTACAATAATAATCAAATCATGACACATTTAAAAATCTGTTGATCAAACATTTGCCTGCCATCCTTGCATCTCCTGTGACTCAATGCCCTCCAGGAATGGTTCCATCATTGTCTTCTTGTTACCTACGTGTAGTCAACGAAAAATACAAACTACACGCTCAGCGAAACCGCTGAGTGGTACCACGCTAGAATTGTAGAATGATTCACAGACATATACATATACATATATATATATATATATATATATATCCATAAAATGTATAATAATATTCATAATATGGCACATTATATCATATAGACAATTTGATGAATCGTGATGATAAATATATTGAATGATAATTACATGATGGCACATTTAATTTAATCAATTTGATTGTTCTTGATGATGATTATATGATACGTAATTGATGTCACACATAGTCATGATGATTTTACTTGATGATGATTTCATGTTGTATGATTCTAACGAGCAAGGACACCCTTGCGCTATGAGATTCGCCCATTTGGTACGACGAACTCACGCGGCCTTAGTCTCTCAAGGGAGACTAGAAAGTAGGGGTGGTACTCGAAGCCCGAATACCATGTACGTACACTAAGCCCGGAACGGGTGATGCCGGACTAGTAAGTCCCGCACATCACACTATAAGAGACGCAATTACGCATGATCTCTTACGCATGCACATGATGTGATATGCTTCAATATGGATGATGAAATGAATCATATGATATGAACAATTT